GATATTATCCTTTATCACAACGTTCAATTACCTTTGAAAGAGAGTAGCCCAGGTATATTCCTAATGAAAATTTGGCATTTTTGATGATACCGTTCCACAGAGATCAGACTCACTTGCAGAATCGTGCCTGGAGAGAGAGGTTTGGTTAAGACAGAGATTTCTGGAAACATTCAGACATTCAAATTGCAAATGGAAACTTGAAACCCACTGTCTAATGAGGAATGTACTGGAAAAATAATCTGAAGAGTTGACAAATTGTGTACTAGATTGAACACATGGAATGCAATGCTATGAGACTTTCTGCACTAAAACCCTAATATGTACAACAATGATGTGTGTATTATATAACAGTGATGTGTACATTTCTGACACCCCATACATAATATACACAGTTTGTATAAATGCATACATTTAAAAATATATATGTACAATACAGCTAACATAAAACTGTAGTACGCCTGAAGGATATTACTAGTGCCTAATATTGAGTATAAGTCACTGCGTGTTCTCATCAACTTGGAAGTGCAGTAATTGTTATAAAATTAATCAGTGCAGCCAACATTATTTATGAATCACATCTTTGAAACTGTGCAGTAGCATATACATATATATTTTTAAATAACATTTTTCACAGTTTTCCAGAGTTACTGTTGAAATCTGCATCACCAAAAAAAAAAGGCAAGATTTTTTTAACAATGTAGACACTCTTCCGACCCAGTAATCTGCGTGTGATTTCCTATTTGTAGATTCCCAAGAGACTTTAGCAGTCACCAGCCTTAATGCATGTACAGGATATTATTGTGACTTAATTTATCTGCAGTTTTTAATCCATGTGAAATTGGAATTTATAAACGGACTTGGATTAAATATGTCTGCCTTTCTAAGGTTGCAAATGTTACATTAAATGATTTATGTTGTAAATGACAGAAGTTGAGTTGTATGTAAAAGATGTCCACCAATTTCTGTGAATATTTTTACAAGGAAACTTGAGAATCAAAATACGTTCAAGTCAGTTGTTCTGGCTCCCAGTTTATAATCTCTTTAAAAGCAATCTTTTTGTTTCATAAATGGTTTAAATGTAGCTCCCACAGATTATCAGTATGAAGTCTGACATTTTTCATGAAAAAAGTATGTTTTTCTTTATTATAACTCTAGTTCATTATTTGTCTTTGCTGTTTCCTGATACACACACACACACACACACACACACACACACACGTGTACACATGCACGCATGCACGTACAAACACCCTCCAGTGTCCCAGTGAAGGCTGAACAGGAAGTTTGAGAAGGTCATCTCAATGGCCACAGGGCCCCTGTTCAGCCAGGAGTCCTGGGATGTTGCTTTGTCATTCTTCAGTGTCACAAGTTACTTCCCTGATTTGTGTGCCAGGCTCTTCCAACTGAAACCAACATGGTGGAATCATGTTTGCAATATTTGGTCGAGTAAAATAGGAGAAGTTTGAACTAAGAAGATGGAGCTACTAGACCAGTGGTTTGACATGAAGTAACTCCTACATGGGAGGGTGTGTTTATTAACCTCATCTTTAGCCTTATCTCCCTCCCCTTTCCTTATCCTCCTCCCCAAACTAAAGAAGAAAAAACAACAAAAACGAAACCATCACTTCACCCAATCTGGCCCATATCCCTAAATTCAAATAAACTTTGTCTTTTTCCTACTATACCATCTGACACAATTCAATTGTGTCTAGAAATAAAAATGCAGAAAGGGTTTGTTTACAGAAGGGCAGTTCAGTTGAGTCCTCGTTAACCAAGCAGAGGGGTGCAGAAGAACCCTGATGCAGGGTCACCATGGAGAAGCCCTCATCCCAGCAATGGATGGGACAGGGGACTTGGCTTTGCTTCACAAACCACTGAGCTTGATAGTCTTTAGAAGTGGTTTGTGCCAAGAAACACCCAGCAGTCTTTCAAGAACTTTCTCTTCTGCAGCTTTGCCTGCTACACAGCTAAAGTCTGTTCCTATCAGAATTATATTTTTAAGAAGTAATACGTTTTCAAAGACACCTGGATCAAGCGGAGTCTTGAAAGATTTTTTTTTTAATGAAAGAGGAAAAACAGCCTTACCACATAAACTGCCCTTCCAACCATTTGGAACCAGAGTTTATGTGCTCATTTTCCCATTCTCAGAAGAGCACAGTTTTTCAGTATTACAACTTTCTGGCAAGTAGCACAAGAAAGGTTCAGACTTGAGATTTGTGTTCCCTTTGTCCAAATTATTCTGTATATGTCACCAAAGGGGTTAAATTGTTTGCTTGGCATGAGGAAAATTATAAACTCCGTTCTCAAACTAATTACATCTGACCCCGGTTTTGGTTTTTATTATTTAATTGGCACTCCGAGGCAGCAGGGGGTAAATTTTGGGTCAGCTGCAAGGGGATTTAGAGTCACAGCTCTTACAGTAATGGGAATCAAGGGATTAAATCTCTGTGTGTTACTTTGAAAATCCACCTCCTTTACAGCCAGTTTTATAGACATTGATCTGAGGGTTGAATTCAGGGCACTAATTGCAAGTCAACCCAAGGATCAGCATTTGTGTTTAAGCACCAGGAGTGTTGATGTGACCTGAAAAGCTGAATTAAGGACTTGGGTTTTTCTACCCATTTTTAAAATAGGAAAGCTCATCCAGAAATACTTGGATCTAGACATGATATAGCACCAAGGTTTAGGATTTTTAGAGTGCTGTTGTTGGGTTCCTAAAATAATACGGATGTTTTCGTTTTCTTGTCGTTGCTTTTTCAATTTTCCATAAAATAAAACAACTTTCCCCAGTATTCAGGATCCCTTTATTTCTACATGCCCATAGGAGCAAAAAGAAAATACCCAGCAGTGAGGAATGTGCATTGCTTCATTATGTAGCATTCCATCCTCAGGGGCCAAGGGTGTCTGACTTTTCAAAGAACATTCTTAGAGTCTCCCATCTTACCCATCTGTAGCATGAGTGATTGCAAACCCCAAAGGATGGCCATTTAGCTGAGATGTCCGTAATTCTAAGCATGTGTCACACAGGTCTTTACTTACAGACACTTCCATAGCATCACCAGCCATGTCTGATGCCTGTTTAAGTGGTGACATAGCAGCATTGACACTTTGAGGAATTTGCAAACAGGTTATTAATCCCCTGAAGTTCCCAAAGCTTCACACACACACACACACACACACACACAAACACACACTGTCCTACTCTGTGGGCTGGGTTGATCTTTTGTTCCTTTAGAGTTTTTTCCTTGCAAGTTCTGTAAGTCAGATTTCATACCTTGACTCCTTACTATTAAAAGAACAATTATTAGCAACAGTGAAGGCTTTAAGGAAATAGAGCTCCAGCACAAGAATGCACTCATGTTGGGGCCACATAGTAGCTGGATTGCCCAAGCACCCTCTTCCTTTGCCCTGCTGCACCTGGTCTTTGAATAAAACAGTTTCCTCTATGTGAAGTGTAACCCAACATGTCAACCACCTTACTGAGCGACTTAGAGGATCAACAGATCTGGGCAAGCTTTTTGAGATACTAACTGTCACACTTGGCAGGGTTTTAAACATTACTACAGGAACAGAGGTGAAGGGAATACATTATGTCTGCAGGCACCAAGGTGTACACGTGAACAATGTGGGAGATGGAACTTTCTCCTAGGATCTAGCAGACCAAGAGGGGGATAGCAGGATAGCCATACCCACCGCATGAGATGGGAGGGGGACAGGAACAGCCAAGGAAGACACCAGAGAGGGAGCTTCTTCACCTGTGTGGCTACCACTTTGAGTTCTTCCTGGCTACAGACAGAGTTCTAACACCAAGGCGGGCAGGGCAGCAGCGCTACCTTGTACCCCACTGTGGGTGGTATACCCCATCCTCCTCTTTCTCATCACACCGTGGTTTTAAGAAATCAGGGCCTATCCAGCTGGAAAGGGGAAGAAGCAACATGGGGTCCAAGCTTCCAACAGCTGCCATCTTCCATGAGAAAATAGTGTGCCTACTGCACGCCAAGCTGCAAGCATCACCAGAGACCTGTGGCATGGTCAGGCTTCCTGCGTTCCCATGGTGAGTTCTCTTCATGTGAATCTTGTGCCTCTGATGATAATTTTTGTTGGGGGGTGGGGGTAGGAGGTAGAGGACAGCTGCTCGGGGAGGTTCGTCTCTGAGAAAGGAGATCTGTCAGAAGGGACTTAGGTAAGCCATCCTTAAGCTTCGGGAAAGAAAGAGGAAACCTCTCTTGAGAAAATGGATGATTTTTTTTTTCTCTAGTGGGTTAGAGGTTGCATCCACATAATTATTTAATTGTAGGAGAAACTTTAGTCGCTGTACCAGTAGAGAGGAAAATCAACATATGACCTCATTGAATTTTGAGATGCCCAACTAATGACTGGACATTCTAACCCCAAACATGAAGACAAAGACACGAAATCCAACCAATGATCTGGATGTTGCAAACCACTAGGATCAAAGCCCTCAATGGTGTATTGAAATTTTTAGGCACAGGGCCAGTGTGTCTGCCTTGGGTCAGTAAATCAGTGTTTTGAGCTTAATCAAAGTAATCGTGACATACTCAAGAGCCCTTCTTTTCATACTCACTGGAAATCCCTTTCCTAATTTTTCTCCAGTTAAAAAAAAAATGAAACCATGGCTGGAGATAAGGAAAGATTCAGCCTGATTTATGCCTAACTCAATACTAATTTCCTTTTCACAGAATCATGAGATGTTTCCCAGTGCAAATTCCAGGTAGTTAGCTAAAAAATTCTAAAGGGGCAACACAATTTTTTTTTTTGAGACAGGGTCTCATTGTGTCACCCAGACTAGGGTTCAGTCACATGATCTTGGCTCACTGCAACCTCCACCTCCAGGGTTCAAGCAATTCTGCCTCAGCCTCCTGAGTAGCTGGGATTACAGGTGTCCACCACCACACCTGGCTATTTTTGTATTTTTGGTAGAGACGGGGTTTTACCATGTTGGCCAGGTTGTTCTTGAACTCCTGACCTCAGGTGATCTGCCTGCCTCGGCCTCCCAAAGTGCTGGGAATACAGGCGTGAGCCACTGCGCCCAGCCTGGCAACACAGTATTTATCAGCAGAAGGAAATACACCAGGTAGACACTTGGACCTCACCCTTTCTCAGGCAGAGTGCTAAGGAACAGGTACTCCTGTTACACTGTAATAGTCCCTTGCTTACACAGTCCTGTAAACATTTAAAGTCCCTCGCATGAAGTCTGCCCCAGGCAGTGAAGGAATTGAAAATTCCATTTTTTGTATTGTGTGTATCATCTTGGAGGTTTATTCATGGAGCTAGCAACTCTACTTCAGTATTCTGATATCAAAGACCTAGTGTGTCACATCAAACACCTTTTCAAATTCTGCGTTTTGGTCTTGGGAAAGCTGTCAGCAACTTGGGAGCCAGCTTATCTCCCTCGAGACTTTTCTGGTGATCTAGCTTTGGCAGTCACAAAAGCAAATTATAGGGCCTTCATCTTACAGGCATTGATCTTAGGATGGTTTCAAGAATTGAAGAGGATTTTAAATAGGACAATTCTATATAGTAATTTATGTTGTGAAAATGTACATATTGTAGTATTGATGAAAACGTTGTATTTATTAGATCCAATAACATTTTCATATCTCTTCTAGTTATTCTCTATTAAAATAGATCAAGTTCATTTTGTTATGTTATATTCATTTGGGGCTTCTTGTTAGTGCATTTGGATGTGATTGTGGAGAACGTGCAGATTCTGTGTTGATATTCACTATTTTAATCCAAGTAGCTGTAATGGCTCTGTTAAGCAGCAACATTACAAACACTACTGCTGAGAAAGTGGCAGGCTCCAACCTGTGTCTCTGAGTATGTGGGGAAAAAAACGTTAATCCAAGCAATTAATTAAAGACCAGTGGCTTTAGTAAGAATCACTTCTTCCAGCCTTTCTTCTTAAAATCTGTGAATACTTCTTGCAATGAAACTTTTTTTTTCAACTCCAAAACATCACATACAATACAAATTCATTTTGAGGCATTCATATAAATAGACTGGAAAGTACATGCATCAGAACATTTCACTGTTTGGAAGATTGGTGTTTCCTTTTGTGTTTCTCTCTATTCTCCAAATTTTCTGTAACGAGCTTGTGATTTTTCTGAAATTAGAAATTCTAAAAACCTACAATAAATGTTACTTTCTTCCTGAAAGAACGTCTACATAACTATGAGGACATTGCGCATAGTTCTAGTGTAGAAATGTGCAAAAATAATTTGCAGTCTGCAGTGAGGTTGCAATGTATATCAGCTGAAACGGTGACCCTGTAAGTCTTCCAGGGAAGTTTAAGTGGTCCCCTCTCCCTAAGCAGACCAAATTTCTTATTCCTGTTCAGGGATCCCATCTCCTAAGCTGCTTCTAAGATATCTGCACACCAGGAACCTAAAGTCTTCACTTTGGGAATTACTGTTATCTGCATGAGGCAGTGCAAATGTTAAACCCCCTTTCTCTCTCTCTCGTGTCCCCACAGTTGCATTTATCATATTGCAAAGAAAACTCCACATTCAAATCATAAATAATTTAATAGTGAATTGTTTTGGCAAGATCTTAGGGAGGAGTGGAGAACACATCTAATATTAAGAATTTGTCTAGAACAATCTTATATTTTGTCTGAGTCTAAAATTTACAAGTGCAAAGACATTGGAGTCGTTGACCACTTACTTTACTGTTTGGAGATTTTGCTGTTTCTATAATTCACCTGAAACTCATGCAGTGCAGTTTCTGTGATGGGGCAACCTCTTACTGTACTGTGACAGAATGAGCCTTAAGGATTTGTAAGCATAAGCACTTTTATATTTAAAGGGAAATATTAATTCAACAGTGAAATTACTTTTTTAATGTCTCAGTAAACCTTGAAATCAACATCCTGTCTCTAAAACATCCTAGTGTCTCTTCCCTGAACTTCTTTCCAAGTAAAATGCCCATTCGTATGTGTTACATTTTGTCTTAAATATAATGAACTAATCATAAAAAACTACCTTTTCCCCTACAAAAGTATGAATCCACCCGAACTACTAAAATGGATAACATCATTGTAAAGAAAGGAGCAGCAGCGGGGGGCAGTGGCTCACGCTTGTAATCCCAGCACTTTGGGAGGCCGAGGCAGGCAGATCACTTGAGCCTAGGAGTTCGAGACTAGACTTGGCAACATAGTGAAACCCAGTCTCTACAAGAAATAAAAAACTTAGCAGGGCGTGGTGGTGCACACCTGTGGTCTCACCTGCTGTACTCGGGAGGCTGAGATAGGAAGATTGCTTGAGTCCAGGAGTTCAAGGCTGCAGTGAGCTATTATCACACCACTGCACTCCAGCCTGGGCAACAGAGTGAGATCCTGTTTCAAAAAAGAAAAAAATAATAAAGGCACATCAATCTAGAATGTTCTTGGAAGTAAATGTTATAAATGTCAAGTTAGAGTAAAAAATGAAACAACCTGTAATAGAGCCTGGAATATTCTTGCTAAAGGGATTTTTTTTTGCTTTTTTGTTTTTTCACATGTCAAAGCTTTATTTACTGTAAAGCAATGTGCAAACGTAAGCTGTTACTTGTGACATAATTCAAACTACCAGCAGACAACATTTAAAATATTCAATGCTAAATGCTAACGTAAGCCATTTTTAGTTCACTGCATTTCTTTCCCCTTTTCTTTTTTGAAACTTAGTTTAAATCAAGTAATACAATACTGTTTTTGAAAAAGGTACACAATACAAATAGATAAGAGTTCCCCTAAATCCCCATACTGTTTACCCCAAAGAGAGCCACTCTTGTACCGAGCTCCTGGCCTCCAGTGATCCTCCGCCTCGGCTTCCCAAAGTGCTGGGATTATAGGTGTGAGCCACAGCACCCACTCTTGTCAATTAGATATATCTGTCCATATTCATTTACACTTGTGTGTGTGTGTGTGTATGTGTGTGTGTATTGAACACAAATAGATTCACATTACACATGCTGTTTTGTGTTCTGAAACTTGCTTTTATCATTTAGTAGGAAATCTGGGACATTGTTCAGTATCAGTACGGAAAGATCTACCTCATTGCTTGGAACCTCTGTTCAGTATCTCTGTTGTACAATCCATCTTGGTTTATTTAACATTTCCTATTGATGGATATTTAAGTTGACTCATTACGTTTTTTCAAATTGATATATAATTCACAAAGCATAACATTTATCTTTTACAGTATAAATAAATTCCAGTGGTTTTTAGTGTAGTCACAAGATTATGCAACCATCACCACTATCTAATTCTGGAATTTCTTTTTTTTTAAGGTGGAGTTTCTTGTTACCCAGGCTGGAGTGCAGTGGCACGGTCTTGGCTCACTGCAACCTCTGCCTCCCAGGTTCAAGTGATTCATCTGTCTTAGCCTTCCGAAAAGCTGGGATTACAGGCACCACTATGCCCGGCTAGTTTTTGTATTTTTAGTAGAGACAGGGTTTTGCCATGTTCCCCAGGCTGGTCTTGAACTCCTGACCTCAGGTGATCTGCCTGCCTCGGCCTCCCAAAATACTGGGATTACAGGTGTGAGCCACTGCACCCAGCCTCCCATTTTTATCACCCCAGATAGAAACCCTGGACCAATTAGCAGTCATTCACCAATCTCCCTGCAACCCCTGGCAACCATGAATCTAGTTTCCATCTCTATGGATTTGCCTGTTCTGGACATTTCATATAGATGGAATTATACAAGATGTGGCCTTTTGTGTCTGACTTCTTTGACTTAGCACAATGTTTTCAAGGTTCATCCATGTTGTAGCATGGATCAGCACTTCATTTCTATTTACAGCTGAATATCATCTCCTTGCATGGAGAGAAAACATTGTTTTTATCCATTCATCAGTTGATGGGCATTGGGTTATCTCTACCTTTTGGCTACTATGAATAATGCCAGTATGAACATCCACAGCACAAGTGTTTGTGTGAAGATATGTTTTGAATTCTCTTGGATATATGCCTAGGTGTGGAATGGCTGGGTCATATGCTACCTCTATGTTTAGCCTTTTGGGAAACTACCAATGCATATTCCACTGGAGCAGCACCATTGTACATTCACACCAACAAGGAAGGAGCTTTCCATTTCTGCATATCCTTGCCAACACTTGTTATTGTCCATCTTAGTCTATCCTAGTAAGTGTGATGTGGTATTGCATAGCCATTCTGATTTGCATTTCCCTACTGCTAAGGATGTTGAGCATACTTTTATATACTAATTAGCCATTTTATATCTTCCGTGGAGAAATATTCATGCAAATCCTTTGCCCATTTTAAAATTAGGTTATTTGTCTTTTTATTGTTAAGTCGTAAGGGTTTACGTAAATATATATATATATACACACACATATATGTGTGTGTGTGTGTTATGAATACTAGATCCCTATCAAATATATGATTTGTAACTCTTGTCTCCCATTCTGTGGGTTATCTCTTCACCTTCTTGATAGTGCCTTTGGTTGTGCAAGTTTTTTGTTTCAATGAAGTCTAATGTATCCATCTGAAATTTTGTCTCAAGCTTTTGTGCCATATATAAGAAGGCTTTGTTCAACTCAAGGTAATGAAGATTCACTCTTATATCTTGTTCAAGGACTTTTAAAGTATTAGCTCTAGAATTTAGGTCTGTGATTCATTTTAAGTTAATTTTTGTGTATGGTGTGAGGTAGGGGTCCAGCTTCATTCTTTTGCATGTGGATATTCAGCTGTCTCAGCACCATTGGTTAAAATAGAGTATTCTTTTCCCCCATTGAATTTTCTCAGTACCCTTGTCCAAAACAAATTGGCCACACACATGAGGGCTTATTTCTGGACTCTCATTCCCATCCAAATAACTGCTATGTCCATCCTTATGGCAGCACCACATTATCTTGATTACTGTAACTTTGTAGTAATATTTGAAATTAGGAAATGTGAGTCTTCCAATTTTGTTCTTCTTTTACAAGATTGTTTTGGGCTAAATGTGTCTTTTAAAATTAATTTATCCATTGCTTATTGTATTTCCTATAAATGAACTTGTTCCAAGCAGGGGACTATCTGTCCCAGTTTTAAAAAAAATACTACATGCCTTATTAGCATGGCTTACAGGACTGTATGAAAAGTACAGAATGACTTCATGAACCTTTTACTGCCCTATGAGTTCCTGACCACTCTCAGTCGCTGTTCTCCAAAGAGACAAGGCCCATATAAGGGTTATTGGGCTGGTGTCCAGTTGCCTCCTGCCCATCACGCTGGAGTATTTTATATATATAATATGTCTTCCCAAGCCATGGTGGCCTGGGGGCAAAAAGAAGCACAAAGTTGTTCCAGTAATTTTTATGACTTCAAACTCCAGCAGCTTCCCTCTGCCCTCCTGTCCCTAGTCCTGTGCCCCCAGCTCAGGCCTTGCTATACCCTGCATAGACCTGTTGTTTTTTCCACTCTGTCCTACCCAAAGGCACTGACTGCCTGGACTGGGTCTGACAGGTCATCAGAGGCAAAGGGCAGTGGCCACCTCTTCACTGCTACCCTGCCCAGCAGACCTTCAGTGACTTCCAACTCTAACCCAAGTGCAGGGAGGGAGGCTTTTCCTTCACTGGTTTGGATGTGCCTGGGTTTGGGGTCCTGGCCTGGTGCTGACTATGTCTTGGAGTGTCCTTAACTTGTCTCTGGAAGAAAATTCCCTTCCTCCTGCCTCCTCCATTGCCATCACAAGGATCTCTCACCTGTGGTTCCCCAGACAGACAGAAGTATGCCAACTTATACAGGCTGAGCATGTCCCCACAATTCACAGGCAGAAGTCCTGGCCCCCAGTGCCTCAGAATGTGACTGTATTTAGAGATAGGGCCTTTAAAGAGGTAATTAAGTTAAAATGAGGCTGTTAGGATGAGACCTAATCCACTCTACCTGGTGTCCTTATAAGGAGATTTGGACGCACAGAGAGCCACCAGGGGTGTGCAGCACCAAGAGCCAGGCTTGGAACAGATCCCTCCCTCACAGCCCTAAGAGGGAGCCAACTCTGCCAGCAACTTGATCTTGAACATCCAGTCTCCTGAACCATGAGATAATCAATTTCTGTTGTTTAAGCCCTAGGTCTGTGGAATTTTGTTAGGACAGCCTGAGCAAATGAATATTCAGCCCCTCCTCAGCATCTAGATATCCCATGAGAGCCCCTGACCTCTCTCTGCTGAGGCCTCCACATCCCTCCAGGACATCTCTTGGTCAGGACTGGAAGCCAGACTCTAAATCAAGCCTAGACCAGCTCTCTTGCATGAGGCCCCACCTGATACACAGGAAGACATGCATTTGACCTAAGCAGGATGGGGAGCACTGGTTACTTCCCAATCACGCCCCTTCTCTGCTGCCACAGGCAACTTTGACCCCCACATCTGTGAGTGTGAGAAATTATCCCACTCTATTGATTTCTGAAATTAAAAAAAAAAAAAAGAGAGAGAGAAAAGAAATTATCCCACTCCCCAAACTGCAGAAGCAGCACAGGCCATGCTTTCTCCATGGCCCCTCACATTAGATGTGAGGTGATGCCAGAACACCGAGAGGAGGGCTGAGACTCAGAGTGCAGCACCTCTTCCTGTCCATAGTCCTAGCCCTTCCTGTGGCCTCTCCAGCATCCTCTCCAGGCCCGAAGCAAGTCATCTCAGCTCGGGTTCTGAAGCGCAGTTCTCAGGCATCTGCACTCCCCATGTGGGAGGCCTCACCTCACTGTGGGACGTGGGAGTGGTTGACACCTACTGTCTTGGGATTCTTCAGAAAAGAGATATAATCCTATGTGAACCTCCCATTAAACTAGAATTAAGACCTGGGTGGCTTCAAGTGAGGCCTAATGACACTGTGGGGTTTGTCTCTCTTTGCGGTGCCCAGCAAAGTGGCCGCGCTTCAGGCAGAGGGCAGGGCCAGCTGGTGGGAATAGAAACCGGTGCAGTCACTGTGGAAAACAGTTTGGCAGCTCCTCAGACAGTGAACAACAGAGTTACCATGTGACCCAGCAATTCCACTTCTAGGTATACACCCAAGAGAATTGAAAATATCTATTCACATAAAAATGTGTATGTGAATTTTCATAGCAGTATCATTCATAATAGCCCAAAAAAAATGAAAACAGCCCATCAACTAATAAATCAATAAACAAAATGGGTATACCCGTAGAGTAGAACAAAAAAGGAATATTGATACATGCTACAACATGCAAGAACCTTGAAAACATTGTGCTAAGTGCAAGAAGCCAGACACAAAAGGCCACATATTGTAAGACTCCATTCATATGAAATGTCCAGAATAGGCAAATCCAGAGAGAGGAAGTGGATTGGTGGTTGCCAGAGGTTGGGGAAGGAGAACAGGGAGTGACTGCTGATGGAGATGAGGTTTCTTTTTAGGGTGGTGAAAATATTCTGGAATTGGGTAGTGGGATGTTTGCATAATCCTGTAAATATACTAAAAATCACTGAACTCCATGTTTTAAAAGAGTGAATTTCCCTGGAATGTGAATTATATTTCAATTTAAAAAGCAGTAATACTTATTTAGACTTAATAAGACTTCCCAGTAGCTTTGTTGCTTCTCGAATCATACTTCTTCAGTTAATTCTTCTTTCTGGCCAAGTGTAGTGGCTCATACCTGTAATCCCAACACTTTTGGGGGTCAAGATGGGAGGATCACTTGAGGCCAGGGATTCAACACCAGCCTGCTCAATCTAGCAAAACCCCTTCTCTATTTTTTTTTTAAATTGCATTCTAGGTTTTGGGGTACATGTGAAGAACATGCAAGATTGTTGCATAGGTACACAAATGGCAGTGTGATTTGCTTCCTTCCTCCCCTTTACCTGTATCTGGCATTTCTCCCCATGATATGTCTCCCCACCTCCCCCATTTCCCCCCAACAGACCCCAGTGTGTAGTGCTCCCCTCCCTGTGTCCATGTGTTCTCATTGTTCAACACCCGCCTATGAGTGAGAACATGCAGTGTTTTATTTTCTGCTCTGATGTCAGTTTTCTGAGACTGATGGTTTCCAGGTTCATCCATGTACCTACAAAGGACACAAACTCATCATTTTTGATGGCTGCATAATATTCCATGGTGTATATGTACCACATTTTCTCTGTCCAGTCTATCATCAATGGGCATTTGGGTTGGTTCCAGGTCTTTGCTATTGTAAACAGTGCTGCAATGAACATTTGTGTGCACGTGTCCTTATAGTAGAACGATTTATAATCCTTTGGATATATGCCCAGTAATGGGATTGCTGAGTCAAATGGAATTTCTATTTCTAGGTCCTTGAGGAATCGCCACACTGTCTTCCACAATGGTTGAACTAATCTACACTCCCACCAACAGTGTAAAAGTGTTCCTATTTCTCCACATCCTCTCCAGCATCTGTTGTCTCCAGGTTTTTTAATGATCGCTATTCTAACTGGCGTGAGATGGTATCTCAATGTGGTTTTGATTTGCATTTCTCTGATGACCAGTGATGATGAGCATTTTTTCATATGTTTGTTGGCCTCATGTATGTCTTCTTTTGTAAAGTGTCTGTTCATATCCTTTGCCCATTTTTGAATGGGCTTGTTTGTTTTTTTCTTGTAGATCTGTTTTAGTTCTTTGTAAATTCTGGATATCAGCCCTTTGTCAGGTGGGTAGGCTGCAAAAATTTTTTCCCATCCTGTTGGTTGCCGATTCACTCTAATGATTGTTTCTTTTGCCGTGCAGAAGCTGTGGAGTTTGATTAGGTCCCATTTGTCTATTTTGGCTTTTGTTGCCAATGCTTTTGGTGTTTTGGTCATGAAGTCCTTGCCTACACCTATGTCCTGAATGGTTTTGCCTAGGTTTTCTTCTAGGGTTTTTATGGTGTTAGGTCTTATGTTTAAATCTTTAATCCATCTGGAGTTAATTTTAGTGTAAGGTGTCAGGAGGGGTCCAGTGTCTGCTTTCTGCACATGGCTAGCCAGTTTTCCCAACACCATTTCTTAAACAGGGAATCCTTTCCCCATTGCTTGTTTTTTTCAGGTTTGTCAAAGATCGATGGTTGCAGATATGTTGTGTTGCCTCCGAGGAAGGAAAAATAAAATCCTTTGTGAACAAGCAAGTACTCAGAGATTTCATCACCACCAGACCTGCTTTACAAGAGCTCCTGAAAGAGGCTCTACACATACAACGGAACAACCAGTACCAGCCACTCCAAAAACATACCAAATGGTAAAGAGCATCAACACAATCAAGAATCTGCATCAACTAATGAACAAAACAGTCAGCTAGCATCAAAATGACAGTATCAAATTCACATATAACAATATTAACCCTAAATGTAAATGGACTAAATGCCCCAATCAAAAGACACAGACTGACAAATTGGATAAAAAGACAAAACCCATCGGTGTGCTGTATCCAGGAAACCCATCTCACATGCAAGGATACACAAAGGCTCAAAATAAAGGGATGGAGGAAGATTTACCAAGCAAATGGAGAGCAAAAAAAAGCAGGAGTTGCAATTCTCATCTCTGATAAAATAGACTTTAAAGCAACAAAGACCAAAAGAGACAAAGAAGGACATTACATAATGGTAAAAGGATCAATGCAACAAGAAGAGTTAACGATCCTAAATATGTACACACCCAATACAGGAGCACCCAGATACATAAGGCAAGTTCTTAATGACTTACAAAGAGACTTAGACTCCCACACAATTATAGTGGGAGACTTTAACACCCCATTGTCAATATTAGACATATCAACCAGACAGAAAATTAACAAGCATATCGAGGACCTGAACTCAGACCTGGACCAAGCAAACCTAATAGACATTTAATAGACCCCAAATCCACAGAATATACATTCTTCTCAGCAGCACATCACACCTACTCTAAAATTGGCCACATAATTGGAAGTAAATCACTCCTCAGCAAATGCAAAAGAATGGAAATCATAACAAACAGTCTATCAGACCACAGTGCAATCGAGTTAGAACTCAGAATGCAGAAACTAACCCAGAACCACACAGCTTCATGGAAACTGAACAACTGGCTCTTGAATGTTGACTGGATAAACAATGAAATGAAGGCAGAAATAAAGAAGTTCTTTGAAACCTTTCTCTATTTTTTAAAACAAAATTAAAAATTAAAAAAAAAATTTAAAGATAGGGTCTTGCTCTTTTGCCCAGGCTGGAGTACAGTAGCATGATCGTTGCTCATGCAGCCTCAAACTTGCAGGCTCAAGGAATCCTCCTGCCTCAGCCTCATGAGTAGTTAGGACCACAGGTGCATGCCACCATGCCTGGCTAATATTTTAATTTCATTTTTTGTGAGATGGGTCTTATTATGTTGCCCAGGCTGACTGCAGACTCCTGGCCTCATGCAATCCTCCCACCCTGGCCCCATCAAGTGTTGGGATTACAGGAGTGAACCATTACACCCGGCCCCTAGTTCCTCTTTCATATCAGCTGTGAGGATGTAAACTTTTTGAGACTTTGTGTCAAGATATTCTGAAAATATCTCACTGTGCCCTCACATTCGTATCATAATTCTGTTTGCTGTGGAATACTCTTTTTTTTTTTTTAGACAGAGTCTCGCTCTGTTGCCCAGGCTGGAGTGCAGTGGTGTGATCTGCAAACTCCGCCTCCCAGGTTCAAGCAATTCTCCTGCCTCAGCCTCCCAAGAAGCTGGGATTACAGGCCTGCACCACCACCCTCAGCTAATTTTTGTATTTTTAGTAGAGATGGGGTTTCCCCATGTTTGCCAGGCTGGTTTTGTTTGTTTGTTTTTTAAGACGGAGGCTTGCTCTGTCT